AAACTTTATTAATGGAAGCAGGATCAGTCAATCCAAAGCACTGAATCACAATGAGAGCTGACAGTCTGGTGAATTTATTATAAGCCTTAGTTCCATTCTTCCTTTTCTATACGCCCCATGTTACTTCAAAATGTAAAAATTTGTTCAGAAGGCAACATGATGTCAGATTGTTTGTAACCCTTTAAATTTTCCCACATTTTGTCATGTTACAAACATAATCTTCAGTGTTTTACTAAGATTTTATGTGACTGACCAGCAAAGTACCTCATAACTCTAAAGGGAATTCAAGCGATTTTAACTTTTTTTTTTCTTTCCACCCACCTTTCCTCAGTGCACCTGACTGCCTTTAGAGTTCACCTCATTAAATAAGTGAGAATCCACCTGTGTGCAATCTAATCTCAGTATAAATCCAGGTTTCCTGTGAAGGCCTCAGAGGTTTGTTACATGACAATAATTAAACAGCATCATGAAGACCAAAGAACACACCTGACAGGTTAGGAATATGGTTTTGGAGAAGTTTAAAGCAGGCTTGGCACTATGAGGAATTATCATTGGTTTTAGGTTCAATATTGCATCCCTACAGTCCACTTAAAGATAAAACAGCAACATTAGTAATCTTAAAATTTATGCAAATCACCCCATTATTTGCYAAGTTTAATTTCATGATTTAACATCCATTCCTGTCACGGTTTATGGAGGAAACGAAGCTAAAAGACAGCTTTATGCAGAAATGGCAGCTGAGGGCAGGTGAYGGAGACCAAAACAACTTTATTAAAGTAAAACAAAACTATTAACAACGTAGGATAAACATGACTCAGCAAAATGTGAATTAATCTAAAAAGAGCAGCAGCTCCAAAAGGCTGGGCTCTGTGATGGGTCGTATCAGCGCCTCTGGCAAAAGCCTATTTACACTTTTATGATGGCAAGTATTAAAATTTTAAAGCAACATATGCTGACTTTAAAATCACTCTTTCTTTTATTAAGGGCCATTTCTTCTTCAAAGAGTCCAAGTAAAGGAACATGCTGCTTACTGGGGCATGAATGCCAAAGATAAGGACACAGGTACAGGATGGGCCACACCAAGGTCCAAACAAATGTATAAAAGGAAAGTTATTTCTCTGTTAGCCCTTCTTTTACTATAAAGAATCATTTAGACTAGCAGAAATGGAAATCAAGCTCAACATGAGCTCCTTCATATTCCCACAAAGCTAAATCTGTCTGGCCCAGTTCTGGCCCACACAAGGCACTAACATGCCAACACTCGGGCCAGATATTGCAAAAAATGGCCCAGATTTGGTGATGTGGTTTGCCAGAGGTGGTCCATTCATGTGCCAGCACCACATGAACCAAACCACAACTGGGCCAGTTCTGTTGTTGACAGATTTGGGCCACATAAACCAAACTAACTTGAACTAAACAAAAAACGTTATGTCCCTTGTCTCATACGGCCAAGCACCGCTAACAAACAATAACTGAGCTCAACGTGGTATCTCATGCATAGAAACAGCATTTTAACACGTCCTCTTATAAACTCTGAAAAGTACTACGTGTACGACTGACCGAATGTGAAATAAATAATACAGAAATGTTAATAAAAGTAAGAGTAAGAGAGTTTTTCTCACTGGCGAGGTGTGGTAATGGCCCTCTTTAATTCTGGATTCTCCCACTTTCTAACAGGGAATTCACACTGGAGGAGCGTTCCAGTTTAAACATATGACTTGTAAGTGGAAAATTCCCATTTCCAAGAACAGTGGGTCTGCAGCAAAAACAGCCAATGAAACTGAGATCTTACACAGCAATTTATTTATTTATTTTTATTTTATTTGTTGTTTTTTTTTTGTTGTTGTTGTTGCCAGAAAGGGTGTAACAAAACATCAATACTAATTAAATGATTAATGGTGTCATAGTCCATGTATTTTGGTT